GGCCAAAAAGTTGCACTTGAACACACCGCAAAGTCTACAGCCAACAAACATATACATTCTGTGTCTGTGTGAGATGTAAAACTGTAAAATTCAACAGTCTGCTGTATTTGCCCTCTTGACTTTGTTGTTTGCTTGCTTTTGTCACTTTCATTTTTCTTTGGTTTGCTAAGCTGAACAGTCAATCTGAGTGTTCTCTCACCGATGGGCTTCCTTTGCCGATTCAACATGGCTTAATCAGCCAAAAAGCTGTCGACGAGGGCCGTCTAATGCTAACAAATGCTCAACGGTGGCCCAACATTGATCGACAGCTGACGACACATCGCCTTGATGTGTCATTCTAACCAATATGCCACTTTTAGGCACCATGCTCTTCATAGGCACCAACTCGACACGCCACACAAACAGCATTTTCCATGTGACGCACTTGATAGCATGTTGCTAAGCTAAAACTGTGATGCTCTCAGCACAAAAGTATACAGCACACAAAAAAGTTGGTAAATTAGTAAATTAAGTATTATACTTTATCGATTAGTAATTGGCGAAACCATTGTGAATCTTTTGTTTTGAATCAGTGGTTTGGAGCATGTCCAAGTCTCATGATTTCAGTAAACAAAGCTTCGTCACATATCGTTTTGAACTGTTTTAATTCTGATGGTTCGCTGCTAGAGTGTATTGATATGGTGAACTCATGAACCAGAGTCTAATATATGGTCAGTTCAGTTTGAATGAATTTTAATAGACGTGCCTAATTAGCACATAAAAAAAATGTCTAAAAGCACATAAAAAACAGCGCGCATCTGAAGTGTCTCTGAAGGAAATAATGCATTATTTATCGGCTTTAAGATATCGGCCAAATTTTCTTATCAGGCCGATACCGATAACAGAAAAAATGAGCATTTATCGGCCGATACCGATATGGTGGCCGATATATCGTGCATCCCTAGCTAAATGCATACATTTAATTTAATTTAATTTAAATGAGAAACAGATGTTTGACTATCAACAAAGTCCAGGTACAATTTCCAGGTTATTGACTAATTTAGACAGGGAGACACTGTCTGGCCTACAATAAAAGTGACCAAACACAGTTTGATGTGCTTCTACATGTTGTTTTATGGCGAGCTTATCTGAAATTGATTATATACTGTATATATTATATATATGGTATATGAAATATGGTGCCCTTCGTGCAAAGATGTACACTTTAGCGTACTTTTAAAATAGTACTTATTATGGGAATGAAATGAAAATGCATTGTACATTAAATTGCATTTAATTAAATTTAAACATGTCATTTAAAACTTATACTGTCTTTGAAATATGGTTAAAGTTACTGCTGAATGTGCATTTATGATAAACTAAAATACACTTTAATGTCATTTCTATTAAAACGTGCATGCCATGTATTTAAATTATATTTGTAATTACCCATTTGTAATGATATATTTACTTTTTTAATCAAGTGCTTTAGTATGTTAGTCAACACACTTCTTCAAAGCATGACAAGTGATGACACTTTTTAAAATGGTACTTAAGTGTGTTACGAAACAGTCATCCAATTATCTCTCTTTATGTTAATTTAGGTACATTTAGTACATCTTATTTCATTAATATTGTCTACAATACTACAAGTGCACATTCAATACAATTAAAGTGCATTTCTTTTTCTCAAACGACAGCAGTCTCTCTGAGCAGAAAATGACTAGAAGCACTTTTTATTTTTGAGTGAAATCCATTTGTATTTCATGTTGAAACACTACTACATCTAGGCAAGAGGCAGGGCAAGTTCTGCTGGAGATGTTCCATCTCTCTTCCAAAGTCACACATCTATTGGACAACTGCCCCATGGGTAACAAACACAGTTTATTTCTTCCCTAGAAAGCAATCACATAAGTCTCAAACTTGTCTCTGGAGTACGTCCTTTCTGCAGAGCTCAGTTTCACCTCTAACCAAACACACCTGAACCAGCTAATCAAGGCCTCAGTGCCTATATGTGCATAATATATAGTACTTTAAAGATTAGTGTCAAAGGTGCTCCCTTTCAAAGTACATATTTTACATCAAGTATGTACTTCTAATGTGCAGTAAAAGTATGCAAATTGGGTGTCCGACAAGCTCTTGGGTTCATTCCAAATTTATGGCCCGGCGTATTTGATTAGAGCAGAAAATAAAACTCAGCAGGAACTGGGAACCAGATCATGTAAATATTCTTTATAGCCTCAATAAATGAGTAATATGTCATAAATATATCCAAAGCTTCTGCATGTTAGACATTCACTGATAAATATACCAACTGCAGAGGAAGTGTAACTATTCACTGTGACCGACTTGCCATTATTTGAATTGATTTTTTTCCCCATGTTGGTCTACTATTCTGCCCCTAAATTAGGGCTGTGCAATTAATTGCATGCGATTGTCATGCGCATCTAGTCAGTAAAGCCGGTTGCATGATTAGTAGTAAATCTTCATCACCTGCTTTCAGATGGAGCAGCATTTAATACACAGAGCCGTAGTTCACTGACAATCTAGGCAAGATCGCGTTCATAATCGAATGCGATTAATCTGCGATTATGAATGCAATATTGCCTAATTGTCAGTGAACTACGGCTCTGAGTAGTAAATGCCGCTCCATCTGAAAGCAGGTGATGAAGATTTACTACTAATCACGGAACCGGCTTTACTGACGAGATGTGCATGACAATCGCATGCGATTAATTGCACAGCCCTACCCCTAAATGTAAAAACAGAACTGTGATTGTTCGCTTAGTCAGTAAAGCCGGTTGCATGATTAGTAGTATTAGGCAATATTGCATTCATAATCGCAGATTAATCGCATTCGATTATGAACGCGATCTTGCCTAGCTTGTCAGTGAACTACGGCTCTGAGTAGTAAATGCCGCTCCATCTGAAAGCAGGTGATGAAGATTTACTACTAATCACGGAACCGGCTTTACTGACGAGATGCGCATGACAATCGCATGCGATTAATTGCATGCGATTAATTGCACAGCCCTACCCCTAAATGTAAAAACAGAACTGTGATTGTTCGCTTGTAAACAAATGGTGCCTTGTCATCTTTGGTGGGTGATTCTCAGCCAGAATGAGCTGCAATGCAGACCAGATTTCATGCAGTTAGTCTGAAGTCTGGCTATGGGAGACTAGACAAAATTTGGCCTTGCTCTCCCTGTAATTTTGACACTCTCATGGTTATTTAGTCAGGCTGTAGGCGAGGCAGAAAAAGTCACTATGTAATGGATAGCAGAGGGTCTCCTGCAGTACTAAATGGACAGAATTGGAGCAGGAGGTGTGACTAATGTTTCTCATGTTCACAGCTATCAAAAGAAATATACACTTAAAAATAGGTTTTCCAAAAGGAGGTGTTTGCAGCAACGCCACAGAAGAACTATTTTGAGTTCCCAAAAAAAAACTTTCAGTGAACGATTCTCAAAAGAAACATGTTTTCTCTTAGTGTGAAGAAACATTTAATAATCTAAAGAACCCTTTTCCACTGTAAAGAATCTTTTGTAGAATGGAAAAGTTCTAAGGGTGTTCAAGGTTCTTTATAGAACCACAGATGTCAATAAAGAACCTTTACAGGCATGCTGGTGCTGTCTTATGCCAGATTTACACTACATGGTTTTCAAAGTCATCCGATCGCGGTTTCTTTCACACTACATAACCGTTTAGTGCATCGTGAAGTTGCTGTGGTTTGCACATTACACAATGGATTGGCGATTGGGGGTTACACATTACACAATATTTCACTAGGAAGAATCCCCAACGACTCCATCTCATTTACAATTCTGGCACAAGACAGGAATTCGCTAGAAGCTTGGATTCCAGGTTGGCTGTGCACTGGTTTGCAGTAAAAAAAAAGCATAAGAATATGGATGAGAGCGTGGTTGGGGAGATGGTTCCACCCCCTAAAATGTCCCTTGCCTCGTAACTTGCTCTATTATTGTCATTTCCAGTCAAAACACATTTCACACTGCAGGACTCCGAGTTGCAGTTTGTTAAGAATTTCACCTTATAGTTAGCATCCATAAAGTTCCAAATAATAAGAGAAATCAATCATGAAAAAGAGAAAACAAGTAGCTTGAGCAGAACAAAATGCAATCCGTGTCAAACTGGACACAGAGACTGAGACAAATGAATTGACGTACATACATTACATTAAAAAAAAAAATGGATGAGAGAGTGGTTGGGGAGATGGTTCCACCCCCTAAAATGTCCCTTGCCTCGTAACTTGCTCTATTATTGTCATTTCCAGTCAAAACACGTTTCACACTGCAGGACTCCGAGTTGCAGTTTGTTAAGAATTTCACCTTATAGTTAGCATCCATAAAGTTCCAAATAATAAGAGAAATCAATCATGAAAAAGAGAAAACAAGTAGCTTGAGCAGAACAAAATGCAATCCGTGTCAAACTGGACACAGAGACTGAGACAAATGAATTGACGTACATACATTACATTCAAAAGGTGTCATACTGGTGCCATCACGTAATTAAAGGGGCATAAGAATATGGATGAGAGCGTGGTTGGGGAGATGGTTCCACCCCCTAAAATGTCCCTTGCCTCGTAACTTGCTCTATTATTGTCATTTCCAGTCAAAACACATTTCACACTGCAGGACTCCGAGTTGCAGTTTGTTAAGAATTTCACCTTATAGTTAGCATCCATAAAGTTCCAAATAATAAGAGAAATCAATCATGAAAAAGAGAAAACAAGTAGCTTGAGCAGAACAAAATGCAATCCGTGTCAAACTGGACACAGAGACTGAGACAAATGAATTGACGTACATACATTACATTCAAAAGGTGTCATACTGGTGCCATCACGTAATTAAAGGGATAGTTCACCCAAAAATGAAAAGACAAAACACCATCATGACACTAAAATCATGCAATAAACTAAAAATTTATAAAATAACTGATAGTTGTTCCGTCTAGCTGTAGTACACATCTACACGCTGTGAACAAGTACATATCACACATCTTACCTGGACAGGTGTTTCTTGCACAGGGATGACCTCAGGTTCAACTGCGGGCTGTTCTTCTACAACACCAACTTCCTCAATTACAGGCGCAACTGCAGCAGGCTCTTCCTTTTTCAGCTCAACAGCTATCTCCTCTTCAGCCTTTACCTCTGCCTCTTTGAACAAAGAGAATAAAGCTCAGAAAAAAGCAAGGATACACAATGTTGTCAGTGTGGTTACATATGAAAACCTAACTTTATATTAATATGTTATCAGAGTTTGAAAAATCACGACTAGAGAATTGAGAAATAGAATTATTATTATTATTAATATTATTATAGATGCCGATACCGATTATTACAGATCAAGTAGACCGATAACCGATATTTTGAACTGATATATATATGTCTGGTGTAAAAATTAAAATTAATGTCAAAATTAAGAATAACAAGGGCTCTGACAAAAACTGTATTTAAAAGGTTTGTAAATTGTTTTATCTGCAAATCGGTTTTGAAAATGACCGATAACCATAAAAAGCTTAATATCGGTGCCGATAATCGGTCAGGCTGATAATCGGTTGGCCCCTAGCTGGAATACATTATTGGATTTTTATTACATGTACACTCTTAAAAATAAAGGTGCTTCAAAAGGTTCTTCAAGCGATGCCATAGAAGAACCATTTTTGGTTCCACAAAGAAGCATTCAGTCAAAGGTTCTTTAAAGAATCATCTCTTTCTTACCTTTTTGTAATCTGAAGAACCTTCTTTCGCCACAAAGAACCTTTTGTGAAACAGAAATGTTCTTCAGATTTTAAAGGTTCTTTATGGAACCATTTAGACAAAAAGGTTCTTCTATGGCATCGTGAAGCACCTTAATTTTTAAGAGTGTATACAGGAATATTCCAATAGATGTGGAGTATGTAAACATTTGTTTTCCAAAATAAAGCCATAACCAGAATATGGACTTTAACCAGAAAGTGATATTCTTGTAAAATTGGTTATTGTATTAAAGTAAGAATGTAATGAAGATAATCATGTAGTCCACCAAAGTGAGAAACATCACAATCAGTTTTGTAAGACTGGAGCTCTGAAGCTCATTTTTAGCACATTCCGTTCATGTAAATGTCAGTTCCACAAGAGTATTCACTGAAGATCACGTGCTCGCTAGTGTCACACACACACACACACACACACACACACACCTGTGCCACAATTACAATTTGCTCTCAACAGCAACATGTAATACAATATACACTTTTAAATATAGTGGATATACGTTTGAAGCCATATATAGAAAGGCCCTGGAGTTTGCCATGTTCAAAACTCTGAGTTCTGCTGTAGTGAGCACATTCTTAGACGAGACCAAACGTGTGCTCATATGAAAGGTCAAAAACCCTGCTTAACTCTATAATGTCCACTAGTGTGTTGTTTAAAAGAGGCTGAGCGAAGAAACATTCTGTACTCCAGGCCAAAATGGCAGTCTCCTTAGTGTTTTGAAAAGATCTTCAGTTTGTTCCAAACAAGGATTCACATTATACTAGTAAATATCCTGTTCGGATCTTCGTCCCTGGAGCAACACCCTTTCTACATTAAATGAATGTTAAAGTAATGAATAATATGGCAAGTAAAGTGACTACTTTGTGTTCATTGTGTTCCTGAACAGTGTTTGGGGAAAGTTACTTTTAAAAGTAATGCATTATAATATTGCGTTACTCCATAAAAAAGTAACTAATTACGGTACTTAGTTACTTTTTATGGAAAGTAACGCGTTACGTTACTTTTGTGTTACTTTTTAAATCTGGACAGGGCTTGCTTGTTTGCTTTTAAAATAAAAAAAGTTATATTTTTGGCAAATATAAAAGCCTTTTAACACCAAAAGTGAAATGAATGCGCCTCAGGCTGAAGGGAAAGTACAGTAGAACGCAGGAGAGGACATTTCAACACTTCAGCAATAAACAAAGACACAAATGTTTGTCGAGAGTAATTAGTGCTTATTAGTACGCTTGAACCGGATCATCGAAGCTCAGAAGCAAATAGAATGGGATTAAATACATAAAGGATATTTGTGTTGTTTAACATTTAATTATTGCAGGTTTGCGTCATATTCTGAGTTGCGTTATTTTTATTCATTTTGAGGAATACTGAATCTGTGTTTTTTTGTGAGTGAGATGAATTAATGCATATTCATATTTATTTTAGAACTACAGTAACATCT